ACGACCCGCTCTGCCACTGAGCCAAGTTAAATTCTACTCTCCAGTTAAACCCAGACAATGATAAATATTTTAGTGAAGTGAGTTAATCCAGCTTCTGGATGATTGACTCCTCTGCAGTGGAGAAAACAAGTAGCTTTAGTAATGCTAATGCTAGCTGAGCAGAATAACAGAGAGTGAGCGGTTCTGTTCAAACTAATATCATTACTGTGTATAATGTCACACTTGTGTACCAGTGCCTTTTCTATTAAACTTGGGATAGACGAGAACCACACCTGTAACCATAGTAACTGTACACTACAAAGACTCAAATTGCTCAGAATGACCAAATATTTTACAGATGAAAACTTAAACGTTTATGATTAAAATGTTACTAAAACTAATATATTTTCACTAAAACAATAACTCTAAATCAAGATTAAAACTGGTTTCCAACAAATACAAACAATTAGACCTTTTACCTAATGTCTGAAGAGTCACTGTCATTGTCAGAGAGCTCAAAGAGATAATCTGAGCTGCCCTCCTCATCAGAGAACGAGCGCTCAACTTTTGGCTGCAACATGTCCTGAGTTATCTTGTTACGGCTTTCCATGCTCTTCAGGTCCTCCTCACTGCGACACTTTTCTGTGGGACAGAAGTGGACACACAAATGTATACAGGGTCAGCCACAGCTACATTTGGCTTACAATTTTAAAAAGCTCTATATGTAATTTTCCCCTGAATCTTTTCAGCTGAAGGCAATAAAGGTGCTGGCATTGAATAAAATGTGCAAATGATTAAAAGATGCTATTAAATGTAATCTTCATCTGTGCAAACCTGGGTGCTGAATGAGGTAGGCCTCCACCAGGTTGTTGAGGATGTGGTTCTTACGAATCCTCTCCACGGGGCAGCGGCAGGTGGGGCAAAGAGAAGAACGCTCCATCCAGCCTGAGTAGCAGGCAGCACAGAAGACATGCATGCAAGGCTGCAAGCTAAAGCAAAAACAAGAGGCTTAGAGTCAAACTCGCACACTGTTGGCATTAAGTGGACGTACAAAGTGCCTTACAGGACCACCAAGTAGGGTTCAAGCCCCTAACCTTGGATCTGTTTGAATGCCACAGTCCTTGAGATCTTACCTTACACAGTCATGCAGTAGATCCTGGCAAATAACACATGTCAGGCTCTCCTCCATCTTGTCTGTCTTAGCCCCTTCCACTGGTGGTTTAGACAAAAGACTCCCAAGATTTCCCTTAGTTGACCCGACCACTTCTGTACTGGAGGTGTGTGGCAGGCCCAAATCATAATCTTTATCTGTAAACAATAACTGTATGTTACATGCTAATAATAATGGTAGTTGTCTGGTTTGGCTGGAAGTTGAAAAGAAGTTTTTGGGGTTTGGACAAAAGCTCTAAGTAAAGCTCTGGTCAGACACAATGGGCCCCATTTTATTCATGCAAGCACAACGGCCAGTGTGGTGCACTCGGACTGTGTGGGCGCCTCCAAGCGCACCTGCTGTTGATGAATAAATACACTCTCAGCCAGTCACATCAAACTGTGCCAATCACAGTGAAGCACTACGACATTGGTTCAACAACTGAAGAACCAGGTCCTCCAGGACATTATATTGTTGTCTGGTGCCAAGCAGTACAACATGAACACACAGCACAATAATTTGCAGACGAAGGGCAGGAAAATACAAAATCAGAATGTTGCTTATGCTGGTCATTGCACCACCACAAAAATAATGTGAGGTATCAAGAAAAAAAAACAGGTTAATACCGTCATCAGTTTTCCTCCTCTTGTTTTCGGGCTCCATGCTGTCCGTGTCTTTTTCTTGTGCCGGGGAAGCATCTTTAGCTTGGCCTGATAGGATGAATGAACAGAGATAGGTCAAATAATGTTGTTATGACTTCAAACTGCTTGTTTACAATACACAGATGATTAAAGAATTTAGTTGAAAACACTTTGATGTTGGGTGCATCATATCATATTACTCATAATAGAACTGGTATGCAACTTTATGTAATAGAATTTTGTCATAGCAAACTATTATTGCAATGTGGTTTACATTGTGACCGTTTACAGCAGCCACACACGGCTAAAAGCAAACGTGAAGGTTGCTACTGGCGCCACTGTGGAGGAGTTAGTCCTGGAAAAGGAGCAGTTTCTGTAGTTGTTCTGGTAAAGGAGCTTGATAATATTAACCATTAGAGAAGAAAAGCAGAGGCCCTACAAAACAAAACTCCATAATCTACTAACTACACAAGACGATTCACACCAGGACCTGACTGAGCTGAGTTCAATCAACCATAAGTCCTGTGAATCCTGAATCTGTCGCTCCAAAAAATACAGAGGCTGAAATTATGTTATTACGATTATATTACCATTCTATATGCTGTGATCATGCAATATTATATTATTTTAAAGCTATATCAACCACCACTACTTTGCACAATCAAAATTCCTAATGGGTTAATCCAGCATAGCGTATGCTGAGGCCATAGGCTAATATAACATAGCGTATGTTGCTACTAGAGTGATTACAATGAATAATTTGACATTTGGAGACAACTGCTTATACACTTTTTTGCTGAGAAGATCAATAGCACTCTCATATCTGTCAAACATGAATAGCCAGGAGCCGGTTAGCTTAGCTTAGAACTGAAAGACTGAAAACAGGGGGATGAAAGAATTCAAAATGTTTAGATTTTTAAAGAAGAAATAGTCCAGAAGCTAACCACAGAACAATGGCTGGATTCAAATAAAATAACTGTTTTGGGTAATTTACAATACTAGTTATTTTCATATCTAAATGTGTTCAAGAATTAACATAAATAAAAAATAACAAAAGTCTAACTATAATGCATGATTTAACAGTTATGTTTGCATATCATCACTCCAATCCCGACACATCCTCAGGTAGAGACATGTTTTGCCACTGTTAGCTAGGTAACGTGTAAACCAGTTATACAAAATGGATCGGTTTTTGAAATAAAAACGTGATGCGGCCGACAAACCTGTGCCAGTAAAAGCTCCAAACTGTGGTGAGGTATATATATATATATATTCAAAATGGCAGCCAGTGACGCTGAGCCGAAAGCACAGTGTGTTGAATGTGTTAAAATCCTATCCAATGAGGGACTAAAACCACTGAAGCTCCAGAGTTGTGAGTCAGGGTTTTCCATTCTGGCAAGGAACAAACTCAAAGCTACTTTGAATGTTACTCTGCACGTCAGCCCATCCCACCACAACTTCATCTCATTATCTCTCAGTAGTAAGCCCAAGAGTTTCACTGAGGGTAAGCAGAATATTTATTTTAGGCCATTACAGCTGACAGTGGGATAACATATATTTACAGTCCAGTTTATTTTTTGTCATGCTGTTTCCCCCACCCCCCCTATTTACTCGGGAAGGTGGTACTCAGAAATAACAATCAGAAAGCTTGAGAACACCCAATCATTAAAAATGTATCTACATAAATTTATAAAACTTCACATGGCAAATGTATAAAGTTGAATGTATAGAAGGTGATTCACCGTGAATTTCCAGAGGGATAGAGAAGAAGAAAAGAAAAAGTCCTCCCTCCCATCACAATGGATGACCCCTCTTCAGCAGTGTGTTAGCAGAGAACCTACCAGGGGCAGGACACGCTGTGGTTGCCATGAGACCAGAAGTGGTAGGACTCCCGATGCAGAAGTGGGAAGTGGAGGTGGAGGGCTGAGGTTCCTCCTGAGTTGGGTCATGAGGAGCCTTTGTGAGCATTACAGGCTCCACAGAGAGTGACATCTCTGAAGGTGGAACAAGAGCATGACTGTGGACCGAACTGTCCATGTCTGAAGTTTAGACAGAGGATGGGGGTTACTAGTGAGGCAAAGTATAGCGGTGGGATAAAAGCGCTTGCATTCAACAAAAGGACTCGTGGGTAATTACCCGACTACTTACCATAATGTTGTGAAATAGCCTGCTCCGTTTTGATTGAGTGGTAAACATAGGCAATGTCTACAGGGTGACAAGAGAAGATGTAGTCGTTCTTTCCTTCTTATAGATTTATATAAACTTTATTCTCTTGGCAAAAAAAAAAAAAAAAAGAGACTCACTTTGTTCTGGCTCACTTTTCCTGTACACAAAGTGGATGACATCCCCACTCTGCAGCATGTGAGTTTGTTTCTTGACCGTGGACATGTTGATCATTGTGCCATTAGTGCTACAGACAAACAAGCATGTAATTAAAATGTGTTTCACACTTGAACAGCTCTGAAAACACAAGTATAGTCTTCCTTTCAAACACATTTCAAATGTTTGCATCACAGAACATACATTATTCAGCTCAGTCCACCAGGACACAAGCACATGATGCTCTAGTTTTGTACTGCAGTTATAATTCACTGACGGGTGAATATTCAGTGTACAGTACCTCATGTCTTCAAGCCACACCAGCCCTGAGCTTTCATCTTGCACAATCTTGCAGTGCTCCCCTGATACCAGTTTGTTGGCTGGAAAGGACAGATAACATCCTGGCAAGAAAATAATAAAGCACCACCATGAAAACACATTTTCAACACAGATTACATTTTAGCTTTTTTGCACCCCTTTGGGGTACTAATATGTAATATATGCATCTGTCAAGAGTATGAAAACATGCGTTTGCATTTTAATGTATTTTTTTCTACCTCTAACCATTCCAAAACAAATTCTCAGCAATTCTAGCAACATGGCAATATAGTTGCCATATATAAGATTGTCAGCCTATCTTTTAAATTATATACTATTAAGATTTACCTTGTCGTGAGGTTTTTTAGACCTTTTATTACCCAGACATAAGCTAACCAATTAAGGCTAGTCACTTTGCATTGCAAAAACGTGGACCCCAAAAGCTCCCGACAACAAAGCAGACACAGGGGGAAATATAGGCCTAACCTTTTCTTAAGCAAAACCCATACAAAAAAAAAAATCTACTTAATATTCCGCACACATGTTCTCAATGGAAGCCTTTTGTTATCATCACAAGGGGCTGTCTAAGTTTGGTGCACTAAAGAAGTCTTTGTGTTTTCAAGGGGGAGGTTTTTAAAGGCTCCTCCAGACACTGACAGCAAAGTCTATTCCACAGACGGGACTGTCTTGTCTGTCTCCATCACCACATTTAGAGCTTTTTAAAGCACAATAGAAAAACTTCACAACGTTTTATAAAATAGGATTTAAGGTGAAGACAAATCTGTATTGTTCAATCCATAAAATACAGAGACTAACCCACCTTTTTTTCTGCCAACAGTGCATTCCTTGTTGAAAAGCAGGACAGTTTCACTGGAGTCCACTTTGACTAGCTTTCCCCATGGTTGTCTTCTATAACTGTCCATCTTCCAGTGTTTTTTTTTTCCTGTAAGAAGTTATAAGAAAACAAGCTCAGTAATGTTCAACTAAATTAAATACTCTGTCATGATATCGCTTTTTCTGGCACTGTTTAATGGTAGCAAAGAGAAAGTGAAAGAATCAGCAGTAAGGCGTGTAATCAAAACCTTATTTGGTCAGTAGAGTTAGTCACTAATATGTCAAACCAACTATTCATTGTTGCCAGGGTTCAGATATCAAAAGCCAAATTAAGTTAAAATCATACCCTCATAGACATCCCTTCATAAACATGATATAAACCATCTTTTTTATTACAATACAAGCATCCAATCTTCATTTCCATAGTCATCTAAAACAACAGGTTGCACATATTCTGTATATAAGTTACTGTTTCGTATTTAAGTCCAACTATTATCTTATGTCAAAACGTACATTTTGAGTGATTTTAAGTCCAGTGCTGTTGGTTATATCATGTTTTATGTATGCCGAAGTCAGAAGGGAACTTTAACGATTCATAAATGATTATGAGCCATGTTAGGAAAGATATTCACCTTGCCAAAAAAAGCAAGAATACATTAAGAAAGTTAGAGTTTCCATCAGGTTTGGTTCCGCACCCACTGGGGGAAAACCTGCTAACGAGACCTAGTTAGCTTTCCAGAGCTTACTAGCCATCTAGCGTCATTAGCTGACTTTTTCGTGTGACAAGCTGGTAAAACGTAGTAATTTCAAGCGTCATTTATAACCTACTTTGATAAAAATGTTTCGTAATGCACATGCTGTGGGATATCATAACACGTAACGCGAAAACACACAACTTCGCTCAATAATAACAGCAAGCTAACAAACTAGCTACCATTAGCAGCCGACCATACTGGTTACTAGAGGTAATCGGGAGCAGACCAGATATGCCCGCAACATTATTCTTATCTCATGTCTGAAACGGTTACTTTACCGTCAAAAGCTTAGTTTGTTGTCCCAATAGCTCTGTATAAAACCGCTTCTTCCCCTCATGTTCCAGCTAAACACAAGATGCACTTCCTGCCAGGCTCAGGGTTGACATTATATACCGTCATCAGCTGATGGAGGAGGGGCAGCCTGAGTTTGGGTTTAAAGCACACCCTCACACAAAGCAGACACTATTCACTGGCAGGTCCAATACCATATCATAACAATAGTATCTAATAATATGTAACCTAATAAGTGTCACATGCTGAATTTAATGGAAAAATATGTTTTCGACCTAAGACATACATTCAGTGGCTCGAGTGTTTGCACATATAGCTACTGTTGTATCAGAGAAGTTGATGCTGGAAAATAGAGTTTGTATTTGGAGTTTGTATCATGTGGTACAAAAGACATTGTTGTTACACCCAGCAAGCAACAAATGTGAAGCACACAGAATGCACATTTGTAATACCTAGTCAGTGATGAGAATGGATTACCCACTGTCATTGACTCTTATACCCACCCTGTATATAAAGTATGCATTACATTAATGCACCCACGTTCTTTTCCACAGTGTCTTCTTCTTCTTCTTCTCTTTGCGCATTTTATTTCATTTTTGAAAAGTACCTTCTATTCTTTCTGTGGTGGATTTGGTGATCTTGAAATAATGTATATTAAGTAATTCTGTATTTTGGTAATGTGATTGTGTATATCTCTATGCACCAACTTGGCCACCAGGTCACAATGTTCCTCGTTAGGCTAAACAACCTACTTGGGCAATAAACAAAAATTTCTGATTCGATTCTGGTTGTCATCATAAACTTACTTGCAGCCTGTGTATTTTAAACTTATTCTTTCCATTTAGTAAACTGTTCAGAATTTCTAGGCTTTTTATGGTTTAGCTGTGACAAAATTGTTTTTCCCACCCACCTCCTGCATCTTTATGGCAAGGACGTATTAAAAAGCATTATACACGGGCACCAGGAAAAGAAGGTATTACTGGCACCAGTGCCTGTCTGCAGCTATTTGCTGACCTTTGTCTCCATTTGAATTGGTCTAATAAACTGGAAATCAAAATAGGAGGGAGGAAATTATTTGAAACACTGCCTCATTATTTTTTTGGGCATAAGTTGCTCTTAAAGGGCAATTTCAGGGGCATTTAGCAATTACAGTTTGAAAATGTAAAGAGTTCAGTCACCAATAATTTACTAATCAAAATCAAGGCCAGGGCCAAGAGGATGGGTTTTGGAAACTTCCCCTTCATGGTAAATTCATTATTCACCATTAATCATTAACATTGCATTAGCATTTATTAGGCTGACGTTTTTATTTCCCAAAAAGGACTTACATGCATTCAGCCATGAGCCATGGATTTACAGCCCAAAATTGCAGGGAATAATGCAAGTATTCATTTCAATTCAAGCTGAAAACTGATCCCAATTGGGTTACAAACCGCCTTTTTCTTCCCCCAAACCCAGGTGGTTGTAATAGTTACACACTTCTTATGATTCCATTCTGGTTTTAAACATCGCTTGCCAAAATCTTGGTTCAAAACCTCCTTCTTGGGCAGCAGTCTAACGAGCAGAGGAGGAGAAGGTTCCCTCTTCTCTTGTCAGCACTTTCACTTTCAGGAGCAATACACCCAAAAGAACTTTAAAACAGAAAGTTTCAGCTTACATCCCCTTATAACAGTTAGATCAATAAGGGATTTAATGGTTGAGCAGTTATGCATTGGTGGTGTATATGGTACCAATCTTTAGCATCCAAAAAACAAGAGCGGAGGACATCCAGGCTTGGTCTGTATTATTCTGTTGGTCAGGGGATTACGATGCAATACTTCTTCTGCCTCTCCTTCAAAATTCCTCGGTCCTCTGGTTTCTTTTCTAATTCCTGTCAGACTGTTGACAGAACTTGACATTGAGAAACATGGAAACTTTCTTCTTCCCTTCTATCTTTTGGGGAATGACAAAGACAGTTCCAATCAAAGCAGTAAGTTCTCAACTTACAACAAATCAATGAAAACAGAGGAGGTCATAAAAGTGATGTTAAGAACAGTACAGTGAGGGCAGGATTGCCAGCTTGAGGCTCTGCTAACAACATTATCAACCACCACAGTCCATTTCCAAATTTGCCCAGTTGTTTCCAATTTGGGATGTCATTTGCTATCTGTTCGCAAGCTTCATTATCGTTCATATTCGCAGAAAAATGTTGTCTGTATTAGATTACTGATAAGCACACACCGCCTTTAAACTCGTGGTTACCCCAAATCAGGAATGGTTTAAACCAGCAGACAAGAAAATCTTAGTTCAGTATCACTGCAGTTAAGGGTTCACCACAATATGATTGTTAAATGGTGCTTCTAACTTGTTAGTAAAATTCAATTTCAGTTCAGCATTCTTTTCAGGCTTTACCACTTATAAGGCTCTTTCCCTGGAACGGTGGGTCGTCAACAACACAAAAAAACAACCTTATTAACATTTTGAGAACTAGTCTGTACTGAGGTATTCCATTTCATGATAAAACTTTAATACCTCTCTATGTATACAAGGACATGACTGGACATTTTTACTTCCATACATTTATCTAACGATATACTTTAAAATATACTAGTTATATTTCAGATCAAGAATTTACACAAATATATTGCTATAACTCAATATAGTTCATTTACCGGAAAACCTTTTGAAACTGGTGACCTCAGAGGTTTAGTCTAAGTAGGCCCCCATTGTTGGAATTTCGAGTCTATGGACCCTATTTAGTAGTTCCACCCAAAGAGATTCTTCTACGATAGTTTACATTTAAAAGTGAGCTGGCAAAAAGGGTCAAATTGACAGACTACAACAAAGGGAACCAAATAGATATGTATTACGACGAGTATTAAGGCAGACAAAAGAATTTAATTATTTTTTATAATTTTGGAAATTACCGAAGATAAAAGTCATTTACATACGAGAATAAAGGTTCCCGTAAATAATAGCGGAAATAAATGTAATCGTTTTTAATGAGGAAAAAAAGCTTCGATAGAGTTATAAATCTGCCGTGAGCAAGCTCAAACCAAATTTCAGGCAAAAGGCTCGCCTTTGAGCCCTGCAGCCGCTTGTTTGTTCTAGTCAATCCTACAGTCAACAGGTAAAAAAGCTAAACGTATTGATTTTCAAATTTCGTCTTTAAAACCAGTTTTTTGGCAGGTGCTTCGCTTGGCAAATTTTCATTTAAAAAATACATTTTTATTTTCTCCGTATTTAGAACCCTTATTTTCTCGTACATTTACGGCACTTTTTTCTCGTTTATATATACTTATTTCTCGTAATGTTTACGGACCTTTTGTTTCTCGAATAAATTTTAGAACTTAATTCTTCAGAACCAATATTTTTATTGGGACTTTATTTTCGTAATATTATGGAACTTTATTCTTCGTTATAATTATGACAAGAACCTTTCCTTGGTGACACCCATTTGCAGCAACATTATAACAGAAACATTTTCCAGTGTCTTGTGACCGCGGCTTTGGACCAAAAAAACCCCTAGGATTTGAAAAAAATAAAAAACTACCTGGAAATTTAAGCTGGTAAAGGTAAATAACAGTAATTTTTAAAAAACTAGGTCCCAAACCAAAGGGGCCACTTACAAACAAAAACATAATGGACTTTATGGTTTCGCATCAGTTATTAACCATCCATAACATCGGCATAATATATGGGCCATTTACTGTCGAATGATAACCTTTAACTGTTCTTGCTACAAGTAACTCTGTAGCTTTCACTTAGGATTTCCTGGGAACGGGCAGGACTAAACCAAAAACTTTTATTCATTACAAGAAAATCAACAATTGCCAAAAATATCACCAAGTGATGAGTCGCTGGAATGAGTTATCAGCAGATGAAGGGTTAAAAAATGACTGGGCCATAATTGATCTGGTCAGCAATGGCAGAAACACTTTACATTCTCTAACTCTTGCTTGGAACTAATGCCATGGCTGATTATTGTCATATAACTCATTTTGGCAAAGTATGGTCAACATCGGCGCATTGGAGATTTTAAAATGCTGTATTATTTAAAAATAGTGCTTGAAACTGTTAACAAAATAACCAATGGCAAACGAACTGTTTGTTCATCAGATACACTTAAATTCCTGTTATTACAACCATCATATTCCTGGAAGGCTGCATTAAAATTAAATGCAATGAAAAAAATCACCAGTCACCCAGTTTTTTCTCTGTAACCTTGTATTTCTGGTGTTCGGGTCTCGAAAAAGAGGTTCCAGAAGCAAAAAATGGCGATGTTTATAGTATACACCCTTTCGCAAAATTTTTCCAAGTAAATGTATTAATGTAACCACAAAACTAATTTCTATTTTCTGTTTTTTAACCAAGGAGCATTCAGTTTCGAAAAAAAGCTCTAAAAAAAACAACCCCCCACTTGTTACAAAACACAACAAGGGCAAACAAGAAACCACAGTTAGAAGCTAGCTTGATAGTGGATCGACATTTTGGGTGAACCAAAAAATGAAAAGACTATTTTCTCAGATGGTCGAGAGAAGTGGAATATTCTGGACTAAAACCCCATTGCAACGATGCCAGATAACATTGGCTCCAAAGATGGGAAGCTTAAATGAGAACATTTAAGTTACCGGCTGGATGTGTATTAAAGAACTTTTTAAACAATTTTACCCCATATTTTCAATAAAACTTAAAAGGCCCACCATTTAGGCTGGTTTATTGGGCAGAAATAAACAAGGAATTATAAAGCATAGGTATAAATCACCTGAAAAATTAAAGAATCGTGTTTTTTGTTTTATGTTTAGGAATGAAGTGTTAACTATTTTTTCAGGGACCGCTTGTGGGTGGGTTCGTCCATTGAGTCTGCATGTTTTTCTGAGTAGGGGGGCAAGGAACGGGACAAATCAATCCACCATGGCCCTCTGATTAGTGGTCCCCTGTTGTTTCATGTGTTCGCAGTTGACTATTCTGCTTGCTTAGAAAAGGGTAGTCGAATGAACCACACCGCAGAGCCACAACTTATTCTGAATGGTAAACTTGTGTCTGCCTCCAAATATATTGTTTTAATGCTGGTTTAACAGTTTTTGTGCTTGCAATAAATAACCCAGACCTAATACGTTGAAC